TGTATTACCCGCTCCTACAGCTCACAAGGCTGTGTAAATTGTTGAGACATTAACTTTGAAAAGTTGTCTCTACCTGTCAAAATTTTTGAAAAAAGATAACAATAATAATAATATTTGAAAAATATGAATTTTTGATCCATAGTACCTTACACAAATTTTATCTAAAATCTTACGCAAAATCTGTCATAACTTTTAATCGCCCTAAACCAATTTTCATAAATCGTGTAAGTATTTTCCGATATATAGATAGTATAAGTTCGTGGTGTAACACCCTGTATAATACCTAATACCAAATTATATACTGACCTCTACAATCGTCGGACTAAACAATAAAGAAATTCAAATTATCAAATCAAATCTAATTTTAATTTAGATTATGTACATCTTACCGGTTTAAAAGTTAGTACTTAAAATTCGATTAGCATGCGAAGGCTGTAGAATTGAATAAAATAAACTTTATTAGCACAAAATGTGCTAAAATATACAATAAACAACTTAAAGTACGTATTTCTATTAAATTAACTAGCTAACCCGGCCACGCTTGGTTATTATACGACTAATATTATGTTCAATTTATTTAACAGAGTTTAGTAAATATTTACAACAACAAACAAGAAATACAAAGGAACAACTAAATTTATCATTGGAAGAAGTAAAAAAGAACATAAAGCAAATAAAAAATAATAAGTCTGCAGGCCCCGGAGGGATAGCACCCGAGCTAATTAAATATGGCTCTGAAAAATTGTTTCGTATGATACATACCACGTTTTAAGGTGGGTACACATATGTTCCGAATACCGTCTCGAACCCCGTCGCGTACAGTTGCAGCGACGCGATCAACAGAAGTTCGCGACGTTGTTACAGGGGCATTGAAATAAGTAACGAACCGAACATCGCTCCGTACTTTGTACCAAACATTTTAGCGTTCCAGCAGTAATTGAGTTGAATTCGCATGTGCAAGATAGATCTTGCTGCAGCAGCCTACATTCTTATGCATTATTCAGTTAACTAAACGAAAAATATTCGTGAAAGAAGACGATGGCAAACACAAATGTATAAAAGTAGGGAGAAATATGGTGGCAATCACTTCCTCTTGGATTTAAAATTTTAGTCGATCAGTGGGTTATATAAAAATTTCACAAGGATATCTTTAAAAATTCATAAACCACTCAGCTGTACCTGTGCTTTTACTTTTTCTCTCCGTAATCCAGATAGAAAATTGGTCATTTTTTTACACTCATCCACTGTAATTTTCATTTTAGAAGCAATCTTTTCCCATGCATCGTTTTTTATTTTATTGTAGTATCTGGGATTATTTGTGTCCCATATCTGTTTTTCCCGATAATTTTCGATTAAGAGTAAACTATTCTCTTCCGTCCATTCCACCTTGATGCACTCAACTTTAAAACACCTTCAACCTTCAAAATAACAGACTGACTATTTTGAATGACTGGAGATTCGATAAAAGATTCGCAAGCTAGTCCAAACATGAATTCGCGGTGTACATTGTCGCGCTCAAATTTCTTTTGATGCGAAGGCATTTTACCGACAACCGATGGATCGCTTCGATGTACGTTGTTGACGCGGCGAGGTACGGTACGCGGTTGCATGACTCCGTCCACACTTGAGAACGCGACGTGGTTCGAGACGGCATTCGGAGCATATGTGTACCCACCTTTAGAGAGACTTGGACACCGAACAACAACCTGAAGAATGGTCGACAGCCCATATTATCTCTATTTTCAAGAAAGGGGATAGAAGGAAATGTGAAAATTACAGAGGCTGAAGCATTTTACCATCTATAGGAAGATTATATGGAAAAATAATAAAGGAAAAAATAGAAAAACAAATCTAAAATAAAATAGAGGACAACCAGGCAGGTTTTACAGCTGGGAAATCATGTGTTGACCACATCGTTGTTTCATGGCTGAAATTTGCGGCTATATTCAGTTAACTTTTCGTAAATATTCGTAAAATTTTGCAATGGATTTTATGTTTTATTATCTTTTATTTTGTGATGTTGACGATTTATGTGGTTTTCTTCTTCTTCTTCTTTTGGCATCATAACCCTGGATGGGTCTTTTTCGTCTGGCTATGTCCTTCCATTCAGATCTCTCTTGTGCCCTTCTTCTCCATTGTCTTATGTTCATTGTTTTCAGGTCGTCTTCCACGTCATCCAACCATCTCGTTCTGGGCCTTCCTTTTTTTCGCCTTCCTATGGGCTTCCATTGTAACATTTTCTTTGTTGTTTTTGCATCGTTTTGTCTCTGCACATGTCTCAGTCATGACAGTCTTTGACTTTTCACAAATCTTACAATGTCATAACCTTCATTTAACTCATTAACCTCGTCGTTTCTTCTGTTTCTCCATGTGCCATCTTCCTCTTGTACCGGGCCATATACTTTCCTCAGTATTTTTCTCTCGAATGTCCTGAGTTGGGCTTCATCTTTTTTCGTCATTACCCAAGTTTCACATCCATAGGTTACTACGGGTCTAATCAGTGTTCTGTAGATAGTCATTTTGGTTCTTTTGTCTAATAATTTCGATGTCATCAATCTTTTATTAGCATAGTATGTACGATTCCCGCTGGAAATACGTGCATTAATTTCGCTACTTACGGAGTTCTTCTGATTGATTTCTGTGCGAAGATATGTAAAGGCATCCACTCGTTCGATAGTATAGTTGTCTATTGTGATATTATTTTCATTGTCAGTTATTCTTTTGACTGTCATACTTCGTTTTTGCTTCGTTTATTTTGAGACCTCTTTTTCTTGCTTCAGGATCAATTTGTTTGAACACTTCCATTAGTCGTGGCTTATTCCTACTAATGATGGCTACATCGTCTGCATATGCAGTACTTTGTACTGATTTGGTGTTTATATGGCCGGTTATATTGGTTTTTCTGATGACTGCTTCAAGAACTAGGTTGAATAGCAGGGTTGATAGGGCATCTGCCTGTCTTACTCCCATGTTGATGTTAAACAGGGGAGTCGGTTCTCCAGCTACTCTGACTGCGTCTTTTGAACCCTGCAATGTCATTTTTATGAGGCTAATGTATTTCTTAGGTATACCTAGATTACAAAGGTCTTCCAGCATTCTGTCTCTTTTCACACCATCAAAAGCTTGTTTAAAGTCTATATACATATTATATAGGTCTATATCGTATTCATAAGCTTTTTCTTGTATCGTTATTAGTATGAATATGTTATCTGTAGTGGCTCTATTTGGTCTGAATCAATTTTGATAATCACCAATTATATTTTCGGAGTATTCTAATAATCTATTGTAGATTATATCAGAAACAATTTTGTATATTACATTTAGCAATGTAATTGGCCTATAATTCTGGCATTCGCTCTTATCTCCTTTTTTATATATTGGCTGTATGAGGCCAACTGTCCATTCCTCTGGCATTTGCTCCTTCGTCCATATTAATGTTATTAGGTAATGGATTCTTTACCAGAGTTCGGATCCTCCATGCTTTAATAATTCTGCCGAAATTCTGTCCGTTCCTTGTGCTTTATTGTTTTTTAGTTTATTTATTATCTGAACTACTTCTTCATAACTCGGATTTTCGATGTGCAGCTCCGCCGTATAATATATTGTCTCGTTCTGATTATTTTCGTTGTCTGCATTTAGATTTTCTTCGAAATATTGTTTCCATCTCATTATAATTTTTTGCTTCTTTGTTAGTAGTTCTCCGTCCTTGTCTTTGCATATCGTTAGTTTTGGTCTAAATGACCCATGCTGTGTGCTTTCTTTTATGCATTTATAGAATTTTCTGCTTTCGCGTCTGTTGTTATGCTTTACGATTTCTTGTACTTGTTTTTTCATGGCCTCTCTTTTCTTTCTTCGGCATATTCTAGTCGCTTGTATTTTTTTTCGTTATAAATCTCACTGCTATTTCTTGTTTTTCTTTGAAGTTGGTTAAGCCTAGCTTGCCTTTTTTCCTCTACTGCAGTTCTGCATTCATCATCATACCATTCCGCATTTCTTTGCCTTTTGGCTTTTCCGACAGTTTCCTCTACTGACTCCGTTATAATTGTTTTTAATTGTCTCCATTCCTCCTTTGCAGTATCTTCCTCTCTAGTTCGGTTGAGTTTTATTTGGAGAGCATTTCTGTAATCTTGTCTCTTTGTTGCGCTTTTGAATCCTTCGACATTCCATTTTTTGATTTGAATATTTCTCCCTTTTGCTACTGTCGCTATTTTCTGCCGTAATTTTGCCCCTACAAGATAGTGATCTGAGTCAGAGTTCGCCCCGCGATACGTTCTGACGTTAATTATGTCTGTTGCCCATCTTTTTGAGATGAGTATATGATCAATTTGATTGGCTTCGTTAGTTCCTGGTATTTTCCATGTTCCTTTATGGATATCTTTTCTCTGGAAGTTAGTACTGACAACTACGTAGTTATTTGCTGCTGCGAACTGTGCCACCCTGAGTCCATTTTGACTGGTTTCAGTGTGAAAACTGTGTTTTCCAAATATATTTGCAAACGTTTCTTCTTTCCCCAATTTATGTGGTTTTAGTAGATTTTAATTGTTATTGTTGTTTTTTTAAGTTTTTGTAAGCTTTGACCATAAAATTGTACAATTTTCAATGACAATAAAGCATATTTCTATTATATTCTATTCACCCTGTTACATAGAGAAGCTGAACATTTATTGTCATCTACAATTTAGTCTTAAATATTCACTGAGTTTTTTAGAGACACCCTATATATTTATTATACAAATATAAAAATTTAAGTAATTAATTATTAGCAAGAAATTTAATTGGTTGATAAAAGGCAAAAAAGAAGTCTTAAAACTAGTATACACACAAACGCCTACATTGAAATTCAAATAACAGGATTGCAAGGTTACGAGATTTATGATTTCTCGAATTTATCTAAGATATTATTACGAACTTAAGCTACGAAAATATTTAATCGGTGTCAGACCTCGCGAAAGGTTCGAGAGAGATATTATTATATATTTATTTATGTATATGTGAACACAATGAGCGAACGGCGATTTTTATTTTTCTGTTTATCAGTGCTATTTTTCCTCGGACGGGTAACCAATGGATATAAAATTTTATTCGTGTTTCCCATGCCGGCCAGAAGCCATTATTACTTAGGGAATGCCCTGGCTAAAGGCATGGTCGCGGCTGGACATGATGTTACTATGTTATCCTATTTTGAAGAAAAAAATCCGCCACCGGGAGGAACTTACACGAATGTGCTTCTGCCTGGTATAGACAAAGCGGGTAAGTACTTAAAAAAATCATACAACCATACAATATTATGGTACGGTATATTAAAAAAAGGTATTTAGAAAAAATGTATTAATGATATCTTGCAGGCGTGGAAACTATGCCGAATTCTACTGGTTAATTAATAACTAAGTGGTAATTATTAAGTTTTACTAACTACTATACAGGGTATTTAATGAGTTATGATCATTTTTATTTTGATATAAATGTGAAATAAATCCCTGTATATCAATAAAAATGCATAAATAATTATTACTTTTACATAATAAGGTAAATATATAAATTTGGTAATAATTCGTATCCGGGGAGAACAACAAAAGAATATTACGATTTTCTCATATTATTAAACGTATAACCCTATATTTTATATTAATTATACTATTTAACTGTTAATAAGCCACAATTAAAGGTTAAAGTACGTTTATTGACGTTTCAATTTCCACTTCGGAAATCGTTCTCAAAATACAAACATTAGTAAATTAAACAAATTTTGTTTTTTTTTGTTACTTAGTGAAAAATTCTTCTAACAATTTAATTTTATTTGACAATTCAGACATACATTATACATTTTAAAGTAGACGACTTTAAAATGATATTGCCAATATAGTTGAGTTGCGCTCCTGGGACGACTTTACTTATAAGATAGTTCATTCGATTATATGAAATCAACTTTAAGTTGAGAATATCCATCAGAGAAAATCATAGCATGTAATTCGTCTTTAAAAAGACAAACAAATGCCATGATGACAGTAAAATTCTCCTATTAGTGATTCCATAGTAAATTATGAGGGAAAAACCAGGAAAAAAACCTCATAATACTATCCCGACATGGTAAGTATTTGGTCGTGCCTTCAAGTTTACCTTCAATAAACACCAAATTCTGATTTTACATGTTTGTTATTTAGAAAACATAAATGATGTTTTGATCTTCCATATGTTACTAACTTACAAATACTGGTATTTTCTTTTTAATAACTTCCTCTTTCAATATGGGTAACCAGATCCTACTACATTCTGCCGAGGAATTTGCGACACAATTGGTCTCATTTAGCATAATTAGAGCCGCTTCTTTGATTTTCCTCTTTTTACCATTCGTTTCTTTTAGGACTACATTTGAATCATTCCATTGAACCCTATGTTCATTATCCCATGCGTGTTTATATATTTGAGATCTATCAAATTCTCTATTTTTAATATAATACTGATGTTCACTTATTCTAATATTTAATGGCCTTGATGTTTCACCTAAATACAACTGATCGCATTCACAAGGTATTTTCTAAATGCAATTCTTTGTCCTTTCTTGTTCATTGTTAGGTTTGGTTTTGGACAAAATAAATCTCAACGTGTTTGTTGTTTTGAATGAAGTTTTTCTGATAATCCTTTTATGTATGGTATTGTTATTTTCTTAAATTAAAACTTAAAAGGATAGGAAATAAATTAAACATTTCAACAACATTTAAAACAACAAACACGTTGAGATATATTTTGTCCAAAACCAAACCTAACATTGAACAAGAAAGGACAAAGAATTGCTTTTATAAAATACCTTGTAAATAAGATCAGTTTTATTTAGGTGAAACATCAAGGCCATTAAATATTAGAATGAGTGAACATCAGTCTTATATTAAAAATAGAGAATTTGATAGATCTCAAATATGTAAACACGCATGGGATAATGAACATAGGGTTTAATGAAATAATTCAAATATAGTTCTAAAACAAACGGATGGTAAAAAGAGAAAAATCAAAGAAGCGCCTCTGATTATGCTAAATGTGACCAATTGTGTCGAAAATTCCTCGGCAGAATGTAGTAAGATCTGGTTACCCATATTGAAAGATGAAATTATTAAAAAGAAAATACCAGTATTAGTAAGTCAGTAACATATGGAGGATACATCATTTATGTTTTCTAAATAACAAACATATAAAATCAGAATTTGGTGTTTATTGAAGGTAAATTAAATGCACGATCAAATACTGCCCATATCGGGATAGTTTATGAGGTTTTTTTCTGGTTTTTTCCGTTATAATTTACTATGGAATCACTAACAGGAGAATTTTACTGTCATCATGGCATGTGTTTTTTTTTATAGACGAATTACATGCTATGATTTTTTATGACGGATATTCTCAAGTTAATGTTGATTTCATGTAATCGAACGAACTATCTTATAAGTAAAGTCGTCCCAGGAGCGCAACTGAACAATATTGGCAATATCGTTTTAAAGTCGCCTAGTTTAAAATGTATAATGTATGTCTGAATTGTCAATATAAATGAATCAGATAAAATTAAATTATTAGAAGAATTTTTCACTAAGTAACAAAAAAACAAAATTTGTTTAATTTACTATGTTTGTATTTTGAGAACGATTTCCGAAGTGGAAATTGAAACGTCAATAAACGTATTTTAACCTTTAATTGGGGCTTATTCCCAGTTAAATAGTAATAACTTTAAAATGCCACAAGAAAATAGCTTCAGAAGAAACTTATATTTTATTTTTTCAAATTATTTCATTTATGATACTTTTCATCATGTTACAGAAGAATTTTTATATGTATAGCCTCAAACAAAAAACTTAATTTTTGACAATTTCGGTGATCGCGGTGGTCAAATAGTTGGTTCTCCTCTGCCTATCTACCTCACAGGAAAATTATTATTTAGATAGTTGTGAATAAGAGCAATGTGATAAACTGGAGCACCGTTGTGCAATAACCACATTCTTTGTCGAATAAATGAAATATTTTTCAGTAGTATTGGAAAATTTTATTCAGAAAATCGTGATATATCACCATTCATCCGTGTCTAATATTGGGTAGGTGGCTTTCGCGCAACTACTGATTCTATCGTATGCATTGTTTACTAACCACTACCTTACCACGGTAACCGTTTTCTCTTTTTGCGCAAACTTGTTCTCTTATTTAAAGTTTGTCACCGCATTTGTTTTTCACCGCATGGTATTTATGTCAGCGTTCAAAACTTATTACACGCAGGAGATCACAAACTGGCTTTTTAAAACCATTTAATTTAAATTTTTTCGGAAACTATATGCCTAATATGCCACGACCTTTAGGCTTAATCCAGGACGTGTTGTAATAGGCTATCAAGTAGGGGAACTCATTTAAAACGCTTATATAAAAGCAGCGACCGTGGATATAGCAATTAATGAGTTTAAGAAAACTGGTATGTTTCTCTCCAACAGAAACGTATTCAAAGAATGTGATTTCGTCACAGAAATGCAAGAAACAGTTGAAGAAAGAGTAAAAAAACAAACAGTTAATGAAGAAGCAGTGGAAGGGGAAACAGTCAATGAAGAAATAATAAAAGGAGAAGCAGTAGAAAAAACGCAATTTATAAGAATGTATCAGAAGAAAAACCCCTGAATAACAAGTTAGTCATGCAGATTTGCAACTGAACCAATTTGAACAAAATGATTCTTTTTTTATTTTAATTAACGTGTCTCGACATCTTCGGTCATTAACACGGGAGTAAAGGTTTACGGTTAGGTTAAAATTAAGGTCAATAGTACCTACAGAGATTAAAATAGTAAATAATAACAATAATATGTAAATTATATTTGGTTAAACAACTGTATAGTCTTTAAGAAGGCTGTTAGGCTCTTGAGTAGGCTTGTACAGTTCAGAAGTTCTTTTAAACTATGGGTTATATTGTTGACAACGCGAGTGGATTGGTAGTGTCGACCTTCTGTGAGAATGTGCTTGACGCTAATACAAATATCGTTGCAGTGAGAGCATAACTCTTGGTCTGCAGAGGACATAAGATGACTGTGTGTCAAACTTGTGTGTCTTATCCTCAATATTCGTATTGTTATCTTCTCTTTTGTGTTCATGGATGCTAGTGATAAATAGCTGTTAACATTAGGTTGTATTTCTCTGAGCTTTGTGTCTTTGGTGATCCAAAGTTCCTGTCACTTGCCTTGGATATTTCTTATGAATTTTGATTTTATATCTTCTTGGAACTGTATGTTGTAGATGGGTAAGTTGGATCTAGATGATTCTTTTGCAGCGCTGTTAGCCATCGCATTTCCTTGGATGCCGATATGAGAAAGCACCCATATATTGTTACTGAAATCCAGCGGGAAGTGTGGATGTGGATATGGATCGATTCTAGTATTTTTGCACTAGATAATGTTGATTGAAAATATTTTCTAACCAGTGATTTGCAAATAAGGAATCAGTGCACAGAGCTATACTTTGGTGATTGTCAAAAGAGAACTCAAGAGATTTTGAAATACTGAAGAGTTCTCTGAAAACACACTACATTCGTTGGATATTCGGTATTGTCCTAACACTGTATGAACTGTAGTGATAGAACAGCCAACTCCACTTGCGTTTCGGGATGCGTCGGTATCATCGAGCAAAAAGACAAAAGAGGGAATGTAAAGGTAGTGGGGGCAAAAATATTGTTAAGAAGTGCGATCTTTAGAGGCCACATTAAACAAGGAAAGAGAGTCTTTCTCTCCTTGTTTGACATCAAATTTAGTTGGGTTATGTTATTGTTTGTCCCAAATGTCACATGAAATCTTATTTACATTGAAGTTTTTTAACAATTGTGTCGCATTTTAGACTATTATCGTTAATAATTAATTAAAACTTTCTTGTCTAAGACACATTCTGGGAAAAATTATATAGCTACTGTTAATAAGTGTCGGAAAATTTAAATTTACCGCATTCACATTTCCGAATATGTCCGCCATCAGAGGCCACTTTTTTGGTCTCCTTTTCATAAGGATTAGATTCCCTCTTTTGTCTTTTTGCTCGATGGTCGGTATAAAGCACCTTATCGCAGTGGGATGTATTCAGAATATCTTTGAAAGCTTGTCGAAACATGACATTATTTGTTTGTTGCTTATTAAATTTACAAAGGGAAGTGTTTATCAAAGAAGGTGTTCTAGACCATGGCGGGGATTCTGATTTAATAGGTGCAAGTGTTTGAGATAGTTTTATGTCTTGGCACAAGGGTTGTAGGATCT